ATTTTATTTTGTTCAAACTTGCATTTGCTGTAATAACCCAAATTGAGGAACATTCCTTTTCTCAAGTTGAATCAATGTAATTAATTGAATAACGATAAATTTCAACTTGGACATCTGTTTGAAAGTACAAGACGCAATGTTTGAATATATGATTTACGTACAGTATACGTGTATGACTAAACTCGTATTTTTCAATAGAATTTCATTGGTAAAATCTATCGCGCCCTGACATGAGACCGCAGACCCGGCACCCAAGTCAGCCGAATCAACCATTAACTGTACGTCGCGTATTCTTTTCGATTTCGATAAAATTGTGGCTATTACGAATTATGTTTCGATTCGAATTAAAAATGTTTTTTTATTTATGAAGAAAGAATCGCATCAACCTTTAAGGTTATTGGCGATTGAGACATTATAATTACATTACATTTTCACACTAATTTATATTTTCTGTAAATTGTTTAGGTCAATGAGAATTGAAATGAGAAACTTCACATTGCAATTTTTTTCTAGAATGTCTTCAAGTTTGTCTGATAGTTTATGAATGAGTCTTTCAGCAGCATACATTGGGCAATTAGCCATTATGTGTTTTAAAGAGTCGTGTATTGCAAATTTCGCACATGGGTTCATTACGGCCTGCTATGAGATATTCATGAGCAAGTCTTGTATGTCCAAGGAGAAACCTAGTGATTGATATCTGTTGGGATCTAATTTAAGAAACAATTATCCAGGGGGTTCATACATTATTGTTTCATTTCGGATAGTTTCGATTGAGATACTGAGATTTTCAATATCACTGCTTTTATTCAAGATGGAGGTGTTCAGAATTTTAAATATTTCGTAATGATGTAATGAAGAAATATCGAAAAGATGTTATTTGAAAAAATTCGTACTGAACACAAACCCCTCGTCCGATCAGGTTGCTAACAGAGAGAATGCGTTAAATGTCATAATTTCATTATATCAACTGAAAATGAAATATTGAAAAAAATATTTTTTTGGCTTCTGACCTCTCCATCATTATAGAGAAAAAAGGAAACTTTTGAGGAAAGACATATTAAATCTCATGATCATGCATACATTTTGTAATGGAAGTGAAGTATATATCACATACAGGAATCTTCTTAACGTAATATTTGAAAGGAGATTGATATAAAATCCCATTTACATCAGCACATTTTTGTATAATTTTGAGAACTGATTCACCCAATCCTTTCAAACGATCACAACTTTATATGTGGAAAATACATACATATTCTTTTGTCACAATGACAGTTCATAGAAACATTCACATAACTAGTTATTCCTAGCTATTGGAATCTTGTTCAATTGAAAATCGTTCAGTAAACGATCGACCCAGGAACTGAAGGTAAACGACCATAGACGACGACGTGTGTTCGCTGAAAGGGCTCTAGAGCTAGGACGGTGCTACGTGTCAAACATCTCATAACACATTGAATATTCTGCACGATCGATTTGAGGGCATGGTCATCTCACGTGGGGATGATGTGAACTGGCCACCGAGATCGTGCGACTTGATGCCGTTAGACTTTTTCTTGTGGGGTTTTCTTAGGTCGCTGGTGTATACGGATAAGCCACTGCGGTACTCAAAGCCAACATAACCCATGATATCATCGAATAAAAATTTCCATAATATCTCATACACACTTGTTTTATTTAAATTTAAAGATTGGCAGCGCTTAATGAAACGTCCAATAGTACCAATACATTTGTAGATCTGAAATTAACTAATATTCAATGCGAACTTCAGCGAGATCTTGCACTAGTCGGTCGGTAGCCCGTCGTTTCGACGTGGGTGCTTTGTTCACTCATTCAAATCGAACGCCGTGTTGGTCGATGGTTCAAGTTGCAGGATGAAGCATCGATTTTCACTTGCTATCGTCCAACCCGTGTTAGGAATCACACGTTAAAAGGTGAGGTCTCGTTAGTCCTTAGCTCGCACAAGTTTCGACTTGTGAGAGTTGTCGTTCGTAGGGGAGCGACAGCTAGTTAACGGAAAAACATATTTAATTCATCGCTTCATACTGGAGGTTCGAAGCTGCGGTACCAGTATATATTTTCTATTCCGAAATTGAACGTAATAATTAGTTTTCTCCTGACCACAGTGGCTGCCCATACTTTGAAAAGACTGAAAGGAAATATAAAATCATACTTTTATTTTGGTCTTTTACTATTCATACAAATTCTGTGCAAAAAATTACAGCAATGATGAATTTTTCACACCTTTCTCACTTTTGGTTTGACATAGAAATACGAATGAATTCAGAACTAAAATTGAACTTATCCAAGTTAATATATAATTTACAACTAGGTACTTTAATATGATAGTTTTATAATTATTCTTCGGATTATTGTTTTTGTTTTTCCACGTCAGTAATTTTCTAAAATCAATGTGGGAGAACTGTTTCAGAAGGCTTATGAATAAACTTGACCATCGCAGTTACTCTCCAATCTCTTTTGAAGTAGATGTCACACATCTGTTTCATTCATAAATTGATATGAATGAGTCGTTAAAATTCAAAAATGATTAGAACTATCTTTCGAATATCTACTATGGGGCGATTCTGTAATCAATTTGAATTTCAAATCATTTTCATGTTAGGAACCTAAACAAACTGCTATTTACTGTACGTTTCGTATTTTTTTTTATTTCAGTGAAATTGTGTCCATTCAGAATACTAATTATTTTTTTTTATTTACGAAGAAAAAATCGCATCAACCTCTAATGTTATTAGCGATTACGGCGTTCCAATCACATTTTCACACTAATTTATATTTTCTGTGGACGGTACTGTATATGCCATTGCAAAATTGGGTCGACCGGTTCTCGATGAAATTCATAAGTGCATCGCAAAGAATGTTGACACGCTAATCCAAAATACCTAAATGATAACGTGCATATGGGGTCGTACATGTCAGGCCATTTCTGTTTGTTCTATTAAGGTCATTTCCGCTTTTTTTCGAGGCTTCCGACGATTGTTAGCACAACAAAAGTGAGTGCAATCGGCGCACCTGCGACGTCTACCGGGTCATTCAACTAGTTACGAATCGCGAATATTGAAGGGGTTCTTCAATTAGTTCATTTCACTGTATCGTGTGATTCACTGTTCTGCCCAACTAATTTAAAACACAAAATTTTAGATTACTGACAAAGTAGTTGCATTTTTATGGACTTCTTACTGAACCCAGAAAATTCTTTTCAATAACACCTTTATTGGTGTCATTCGATAGAATTCCGAGGAATTTTCTACGGCCTTCGACTGCCAAATATAAACACGATCCACTCGCCTATCGAGACTGTCAAGTGAAACTGACAGTGCGGTACGCGAGCGATCTAATAAGGCGATAGACGTTTGAAGAATAGTTGAAATTTAATTTAAAGTGTATTGTTGTATTAAAAGTGAAATAAAGTTGAGTTTGAGTTAATTATTTGGTATCAGAAGTGGGATAATTGACTGAAAATTTTCTGTTTTGTGGTGATAACAATGACTATCGATTACGACGAACTTGAGAAAATATTCGAGGCTTTGCAAGCGGGCCTGGCGGAGATTGAAAATCGGAGAAGAAAAGAAGATGTACGCAGAAGAGAGGAAGAACGAGCATGCAAGAAAGAAGAAGATCAACAAGAAAGAAACAGATAGGACTATCGTAAATTACTGGTAAATATTCAGGAAAAACTAGAAAAAGACAATCAGATGTACCTTCATTAATTAGAAGATTTGAAATCTTCCCAAGTGAGTAAAAGGGAGGTACATGAATTTATTCAGGAAGAATTTGGAAAAGTATTTCAGAAAACAAAGGAGGTATTGGAAAAAGTGGTCGATGAGAAACTTGATGGGGTTAACAAAAAATTTGAAGAGAAGCTTGAAGAAGTCGATAAAAAGTTTGAGGAGGTTTTCCGGGAACTTCGGAAAGAATTATCGGACCCGGAAAGGGCTACTGTAGAAAGACAAAAATTTTACCAACGCCAGGATGAAAAAAATACCCAGCTACCAGAAGAGGAACTTTCCACCAGACGTGATAAGAGTGCGAGCGGTAATTGCCAGACACGGAGTACCCAGGAACTACACTCGGATCAGGGCCGCAGCTTGGAATTGGATTTATGGAAGGAAATGATGACGTCGTTGGAAATAAAGAAGTAAAGAATAACTGCTCTTCACCCACAGTACGATGAAATGGTCGAGAGGCATAATCGCACCAAAAATAACTACCTCTCGATGTTTGTCTCCGAAGACCAAAGAGACTGTGATGAATTGGTTCCTTTTTTCTGTTGGCATACAAGAGCTCTCAACATGGCGTTACATGTCACAGACCATCCATATTGTTAACTGACAGGGAACTGAATCTTCCGATAGATGTATTGTGTGGCAGCCCATCTGATAATTCTCAAGAGATACCTATTTCAGAGTATGTGAATGACCTGAAGGAGAGACCTTCAAGGAGGGCGATGCAGTGTGGCTCTACCAACCCCAACGTCGAAAAGGTTTGTCTCCAGTTGCAGAGACTATGGCAAGGACCTCACTTGATAACCAAAAAGATTAACGATGTGGTGCACAGAATCCAATTGTCACCCAGAAGCAAGCCTATAGTTGTCCTCATAGAGAGAATGAGTCCGTACATGTGTCGAAATGTTTCCTCTTGGAATGTTGTTCGGGGCGAATAACCTCAGGAAAGGGGTTGACATTTGAATAATAGTGGAAGTTTAAGTTGAAGTGATTTTTGTATTGAAAGTGAAATAAAGTTGTGTTTGATTATTATTCAGTGTAGTCAATTATTGGTAAGCCCACTGGGAAAAACGTAACAGTATCCATTCAACGCCGACAATTCTTGTATCTTTAACGCAAACAACCTCATCTCAAAAAATATCTAAATCATTAATTATACACCCTACTGTCCAATATGTAAGAAATTTCTATAAAGAAACAACTATTTTCTAAGAATTTCAGGTCGTTGGTCCTCAAGCTTTTATTCTTTTTCAGATTTTGGGAATCCTTTGCATGTCCTTAGCCTCACCTGCCTACTATGGAGGAACCCACTTCTTTTTGTTTGTTGCCACAACGAGCTTCATTGGTACATTGATATGGATTTTCATCTATTTGTTAGGGATAAGAGAAGCTCTAAATATGCCAATCAACTGGATATTGACTGTAAGTACAAAATATTGTCTAGCGGCAGTATAAAACTGTGCTACATATCATAACCATGGTTTCAATTCATTACATGCTGTAATAATGCAGTACTTTCTGTATTGAATTATCAAAGCGCATATCGTGCTTGTTTTCGTAAATGTTTATTTATTGAAACCAAAAACGAACGAATTACTCGTATTTTATGAACACATAGAGTAAAATTGAAGGGTATACAGGATCGTGTAGAATAAATCAAATCCCGCTCTTCATTCATTTGCCTCACTGGTAACAAACCAATTATTAAGATACAGAACAACTGGTTTCATTCAACTACTGAAAATAGGAGGGGAATTTGGTAAGACTAAATTTCAAGCAGAATATTTCGTCAATGTTCATGTGGAAGTATTTGTTTCGAAAGAGTTTTGTTCTTCCATATTGTATCTGAAAGGAAACCACGTGCAGGATCTACATATTTTCTAGATTTTTTCCCAACACCTCGACACGTGTTTCGATCACCAAGTGATCATCTTCAAGAGGAATATCAAACTGAAACACGTGTCGAGGTGTTAAAATAACGGTTTGGTGTTGGGAAAAAACTCCAGTAATATTTATTCTTTCTTTCGTTGAAAGTTACAACCTTTTGTACTCAATGAGGGAGAAGAAGGAAGAGAAAAAACTTATTGTCCAAAAAATTGTGGCCCTCAGAATCTCGTCAGCTGTACCACTGCTCGTGGTACAGCTGAAGGGATTCTGGGGATCGCAGACAACTTACCCATGAAAAAATAATCTTTATCACTTCCTTAAGAGTGGAGAAAGACATGATATCGGTATTGCATTCGATTAAAATGAATGCGTAACAAGTTTATCCCAAAGAAAAACTATGTGAACAACTAAGGAAGGATGTGCAGCTCTCAGTTAGAAGAAACGTCCACCCGGTGAAACAAAATCATTAAAAATCGTAATCCCAGTAAACTGCCCAAAAACGAACAGGAACATGAATTTGCTGTTCCCAACTCGGCTAATTCTTTGGATTAATTAAATGGTTGCAGGTAAAACTAAGTCATCTTGAAGTGCAGATCAAAAAGGAAATGAGCATTGGGGGACACACAGAACGGTTCTGGCAGGAGTTTGTAAAGTCATCTGAAGTTCGAACCCTTTTCATGAGTACGAGGATTCATGATATTTTTGATGTATGATTTACACCGTATGATGAATGGCACCAAAGCGAGGTCTGCGAATAGGCATATAAGATCATAATTATTTTGGTTATATTCGACAATTATGATCCTGAACTTTATTCATTGGTATGACATGACTCTAAGAGCGATATACTATTATTTTTGTTTTCCGAGAAAATGCTTGACAGAAATACCTCGTAGGTTTATCTGGTAGGTATACAAACGGATCGAAAACTGAATATGAGACATAACTGGAATACACTATGTGTAGGTACATTTACATTTCAGCTACCCACTTCGTCAATACACAATCCTTCTTCAAAGCAGATGTATTATGTAATCTGACAATGCACCAGAAATCGAAACGAAGTCCCAATGAATTGAACGAATTATTATTATTTCAGACTGCCAGGCATCATACTGATGAATACAAGAGTGACATCGAAACTGGAGTGAATGAAGTGAAAAACTGAAGAAACCAATGGAGTGGAATAGACTGACCTCATATTGAGTGCCTGGACAATGGCATTATACTGATGAATACAAGAGTGGCATCGAAACTGGTGTGAATGAAGTGAAAAACTGTAGAAACCAATGGAGTGAAATAGACTGACCTCATATTGAGTGCCTGGACAATCACGACTCACAGGGAATGAAAAATCTGGTGAATTTGCTAGAGATTGATTATTTGTTTCATATATCGGCCCTGAACCAGCTACGGGGATACCAAATTCTCTGGCACGGAACCAAATTCGAAAGTGGTTCTATAAGAAACATAAAATATACAAGGAAATGTACACATGAAAACCTTTATAATGGAACCGTCTAAAAAAGAACTGAAGAACAACCTCAACACAGCAGGGATTGGTCCAGAATATTCACAGAGCCACCTACTGGACACTGTCCATTAAGAAGACTCCCAAACTCAACGTAGACCTTAGCTGAAGGCAGTAAAACAAAGAGACAGATTTATGCGCATGTGAGGCACAAATTATGTCAAGAAGAATGTGACAAACATCAAACATTTTTTTTTTGTTTAAGGACGAAACACAAGCAGTACAGGAAAATCCTCAAGGCGTTCTAAGAGCGGTGCCTGTGCGAGTGTAGCGATTCACATTAGACAGGAAGTTTATTCCACATAAACGAAGTTCTCAAAATGAAATTTTTAAACAGTGAAGTTCGAGGTGTACTGAGTTGAACCTCAAAACCATGAGCAGCCACAGTCAGTCACGTATTTTTTATATGTACCGTTCTTGGTGGAATCAAATGTGCCAGCAGGTCACTTGAACACTTCCCGTGAAAGTATCTATAAAAGAGAAACAAATCTCCAACCTTTCTTCGATTTTCCAGACTATCAAAGGTTGCAAGTGATGTTCGCGTCTCCAATCGGACGAATGATTCTTTTCTGGATAGAATCCAGCAGCTTCAGGGTATGTTTAGGGGCGGAAAAATACTCCACGGAAGGTCTGATCTGATCTTTATGAAGCATCAAAAATTGCTAAGTTGTGTATATACATTTTTCTGGTTCGGAACAGTGTTCCAAACTTTTGAGAAGCAACTTTTGCAATTCCAGCGACATTATATCGCCCAAGACATATTGGTGACCATTTGAACACCCAACAAACACATCGAAGACATTTATCTTTTTGGAGAAAACCGATGCCTGGGTTTTCGTGGCCTTGAATTGAACTTGGTTACTTTCACCCCGATTCGAAATCACCTCTAGATTCTCATTAAGATATGCCTTCTCCTGCTGCCGGGGAAGATGTGCATTTGCAACCGATGTCCCGGAGTCCAAATGAAATGACGTGACAAGTGTGCGGAATAAACAAGGAAACCGCAGTAATCGGAAGTAACAAGCTTGTGCGTGGTATGAAGGATTCATTGAAACTAAAAATAGTTTCTACACGTGGTTAATGTCTGTGTGATATGGAGGTAACAATAATTGGGAGATTATTTGCGTGAGAAGAATTTTCTCTATATTTGAAGAGTTTATTATATCGAAAGCATTTCTGAACTACCTTCACATCCTTTTAAGCTATAATTTTCGGCTCATCCTATGTTGTTTCCTTATGTTGACATCGAAATTTATTGTTGTTACTTCGGTCTTCAGTGGAAACAAACTAACTAAATATATTGTAGAAAGCGAAGTGTGCTAAATCAACCTCCTGTGGTATACCATATTGATATTCATCAATTGCCTTCCACTGGTAACATTTTCGATAGCCATTTATTGTTGACGGTCCGATGAATAACTGGTGAGTTTTACCCTATATGCCATGGACTTCCAGATTTCAAGCAATTTTTTGTGGAAAACTTTGTGAAAGGCTTTGGTAAGATCTACCAAAATTCAGGGTGCTGTGATTTATTTTTTGTCTAATACATAATATATCTCAGTTGAGAGTTCCAGAACTACATCTTCTGTTGATCTGCTTCCTGATACCATACTGTTCATTTGAGAGTATTTCAGTGGATTAGTTAGATATTTTTGATATATCAGACATTAGTGTCACAAATTTATGATTGATGATTTCCAAGTCAGATTGGCTTTTATAAAGTGATTATATTACCAGTATACCCCATTCCAATACTTTAGTAAGAATATAAACATTATGTTTTATTTTTCAGGAATTATTCAACACGGGGATCTGCACCGTTTTCTACATTATAGCCTTTATTGTTCAACTTATCGTTTCAGCCACAATACATCACGCATATTCTCATCGAGGGATGTACATAGCAGCAGGGGTAATTATTAGTAGTAGTAGTGGTAGTAGTAGTATTCGTAGTAGTAGTTGTTGCTACAATAGTGGTAGCAGTACTAGTGGTAGTAGTCAAAAGTAGTCAAAGTCTCTGAGCAATAAAGCATATTTCGACTTTGACTTAGTAACTTTACTACCATATTTGAAAGCACATTTTTCGTGACTTCTTTCTTTCAATTCATACTGAAACTTGCGAAAAATGTCATTATTAGGGAAAAATGTGAATGACTCAACATATTCGTACTTTATAAAAAAGAGAAAAACTAAAAAAGTGTTTTCAGGAAGGGAATAAAACTCAAACGTCTGAGCTGCGAGATCAGTATTAGACCGACAATTAATCGTATCAAGTCAACTGATTGTCAATCCAATGAGTTCTGAATCCTTCTGGTCAGCGACTAAAGACTGGTCAAAATTTCACAAGGGCACAATTCTATCACTAACATGAGCAGATGGTTCAATAGTAACAACAGCGATAGGAAAAACAAATTTATTTGCTGAAGTATTTAATTTTCAGGGCGAAAATAACTTTAATTTTTACAATGCAATGCATAATGTCGAATATTATTTTTTAATAGCGTCCTATTAAACGAATTCTGAAACATTTGAACATCAAGAAGTACCTGTCGTCGTACCTGTATGTATGATCTTCCACCTGTCCTCTTTAATCGAATTAGTTACACCTTTTTTTGTGTTTTCTATATTGTTTTCCCCCAGTATAAACATTGAAAAATGAATTGTTGTTATTGTTATAACAATTGAAATTCAGCCTGTATTCAAAAAGGCAAGACAAATTTTTCAAATAACCCATGACAAGTTACTTTTCAATAAGTTATATTAAAAATCAACATATTTCTCAATATTCCGCCATGCTTCCAGATCTTGAGCGATTATGGTGAAGATGTGCCTCCGTATAGCCGATGTCCTGGAATCCTAATGGAATGATGAGAAAAGTGTGTTGTCGTCAGCGAAGCAATATATTGGATTCTTGGTTTTTCCAAAATGTCGTTGATATACAATAAAAAGAGGGTTAAAGACAATATGGATCCCTGGGAAACACCAGCGTTGACGATGAAAGTATTCGAGAGATATCCATCGACGGCCACATTTTTTCAGGAAGCTGAAGATCCATACACAATAATGATCCGACAAGCCATATCATCGATGTTTGGCCAGCAAACCCTCATGCCACACACGGTCAAAGGCCTTAGAAATATCAAGCGCAACAGCTCTTGATTCTCCATGTTTCTCGACTGCGTTATTCCAAACAAGGCCGTAGCCATGGGGGGGATTCGAGACGGATTGATCCCCCCCGAAAGTTCTACAAGCAACGGCCATCCAAAAATTATATCAAATACAACGATTGGCTTGTTTGAACATCACAGGAGCCATGAGAATAACACCAACCGCGGCAATGGAATTAATTACTGGTCTGTCCCCTCTGGACCTGTACGTTAAGGAGGTTGCGTTAATGGCCATGTTACGATTGCACACGGCTGGTGTAAACCTCGAAGTAGGAATGGGTCAATTGAGGCTGAGCCTATGGCGAGAAGCGCTCACTGCGCATCCTCTGCTGCAGGCAACCATTGATGCAATTGTACCCAGGTTTGTGTTTAATAAACCCTACAGAATACAAATAAAACAGAACACAGAGTAAGATGCTACAAATGCAATACGCATATATACGGACGGCCCAAAAACCAAAGAAGGCTTAGGATGTGATGTGTACTCCAGATCACTAAGTCTAAGGATTGAGTGGGGAATGGGAAAAAATACAAGCGTGGTTCAAACAGAACTGGCTGGTATCTCAACTGCCACAAAAGAAATAACCAGAAAAGGAATTTCTGGCAAAAAAGTATCTGCACTGATAGCAGACAAGCCCTATTAGCCTAGAACAGACAACGTGTTACCTCAGGCCTAGTACTAGAGTGCCACCAAGATTCAGCCAAAGCCTCGGTAGATAATAACATTATCCTGGAGTGGATTAAAGGACACGACAGGAGCAAAGGTAATCGCATTGCCAACTCTATAGCCAAGGAAGAGGATGGACTAAGAAAATTGGAACCCAGTGGCACCTACGGTTTGATGACTTCGACAATTGCGGAACTAGCCAAAACGTCACTCTCATGCACAATCCCTGAAGAGATGGGATGAAATCAAAGTATGCAATCTTGCCAGGATCACCCTGGGCGACCCTGGGAAGCTGGCGCCGTAGAAATATCTAGCGATGATCAATAAAAATCTACGTTTAACAGTCATAATATGGGGCTAGTGGACACACCTCTGTGCAGGATGTGTGAACAGGAAGATAAAACTATCTGGCATGTCCTATGCGAGTTATCGTCAATAAGAGAGTGTGTGTCCTAGTGACCTGTCCACCTTCCTGGAAAGGACAGGATCGACGATATCCTAGGAGGACAACTTCTAGAGTGCTGTGGGCCTACACTCACCCTCCCTACTCTACAGATACAGATACTATTGGAATTATAAAATCCGTTAGAAATTTTATCAAGTCCTTGGCAAAACGAACCAAGTGCTTGAAAGATAATATTGAAAAAAACCTACCCGAAACACAAAGTAAAAACCTTACGGCAATGGGCGTACAAACTTTCAAAGATCTTGGCGACACTACCTGTTTCCACATATACCCCTGAAAGAACTTTCTCTTCTCTAAAACGCCTCAAAACTTATTTAAGAAACTCCACAAGCCAGGAACGACTCAACGGTTTGGCGTTAATGTCAATCCATCGTAGAACTGACATCGACACCGAGGAAGTAATTGATTTGTTTGGTGCAAAGAAAGCTAGAAAATTAAATTTGATTTTGTAAAAAGATGTTAATATTTCTGTAATGGTTTTCTAATGAATATATATAATCATGTAACACAATTTATAGGTTTTTGGATTGTTCAACGCTGGTGTATACGGTTTCGCTACCTACCTGTTGTCCATCGAGTGGAAAAGCAGCCGATCAACGAATTAATTTATTTTTGAACTGTAATTTAAGAAAAACTACGTACTGTCATAGATTAAGCCACAAATGTACCTTAAATATAAGTCAGTTGAACACAGTCCTTCTTGGAAAACTTTGAAAAATCTTAAAGTACCTACATACTTGAATTTTTCGAGAAGACTATGGTGCTAGTTGTTGGCAGAGCAAACTATTTTCATTTTTGTTGAGGGTCCTCCCTTCTTTTTTTATCGAAGCGATCTAACAATTTTACAACTATTACGACAAAATTTTCATAGGTATGTACTGCATGTTAGGATATGTGCGAAAATTACGACGTTTATCAAGGCTGAGCTGTATAAATGGTATAACATGAAAAAATATATTCCAAAAACATAATTCATGAAATGTATAGCTCTTCTGAGTTTTACAAACCACAATAAACATGCATTATTGTCAATTGCATTGAAAAGTTGAATATATATTTATGATAATAGAAATATCACCCCTTTCATTGTTACTTTCTGTAAATGTTCTATTAATGATAAGTATCCAGAATCATCACTTGAAAATCACTTGAATGAATCTTGAAAAATGAGAATTGAAACTTTCTATGTTTTTTACCATTTTTATTTGTAACTAACGTTACTGCACTTTCGAAATTTTCAATGTTTTATGTATACGTTTGAAAATGTCCATATAGGACGAAACTGCAATAAAGTTCGTTACCAATAAACGTGTTTAAAAAACATAGAAAGTTTCAATTCTCACTTTTCGTGAGGATTTCCTACCACGTAGTAACAGCTACATCCATCAATTTACTCGAATGAATGTTATGTCACAAAAATTGTACCGTTGCGTTGCAATACTTTTAAGCCTATTTTAATACACAACTGTAATGGTAATGTTTAAGTTTTTAAATTTTATCACAAATAACATTGTACCTAATATAATTGTATATTTTATTTAAAATTGACTATCCATTGTTTTGTATTAAAGTTATCTCCATTATATCAGATTATCATTTTTGGTTTTTAAGATATTTCTCTTATTAAGAAAATCCATTAACTATTAGCGAAATATTATAATGTACAGTAGGCAACAATCACACACATCTAATCTTTTTAGGAGAAAATTACTTTCATTGAATTCTTAACTGCAAACCTGCAGAGTTTGACGTTAAATATCCGTTGATATTGTTACAAACCCATATTTCAAACAACTTCCTAGAATCCCAATTCAAATTTCCACAGAATTTTTTGTAGAATATTACCGTTTAACGTGCTTGGAATTGAAATTGAATGGTAAGACTTAGTTAATCCTTAGCTCGTACAAGTTTCGACGTTCGAAGTGGGACGACAGCTGGTTAACGAAAAAATGGATTTTGAAAGATTTTTAGAATATTTTTATCACAGAGAGGAAGAAAAGAGCTGTTGTTTCGTGATTAAAAAAGTTATGTGATGGAATTGGACGATACTTCATTGAAAGCATAAAGTAATACTTCATTGTGAAAATTTTACTGAGTAGTTCACAAAACCACAGTACATGTTTCACTATTCATTAGGTTCACCACACTTGTTCATTGTAACTAAATTCTACCTCAATATTGTGTACCATTCCAAAATATTTGTTTTCCAAAAATAAATTTTCCCTGAAAATAGCCCCCTTTCAATTTAAACAATATTCCTATGGCTGGTTTGCAAGATGGTTTGCAAATACAGAATTAGTCTTCACATTCAAGGAACTACTCATATGCTCTATCATTCTTTGGAAAAATATTCTTCCCTTTTGACCAATATAAAGTTTAAGGCAAGTTTGGGTCTTGTGCCTATCCCATAACAATCCGTGATCTGAACACTAATAGTATAAACACCTTGTTTGTTGTCCTTACAAAATTTTTAGCAACATATGAAACACCTAATATTGGTAATTTTTTTAATCACCCCGAAAGTTAAATTACTTTCCTCGGTTGCTATTTTTGAAAGAGTAGGAATGTTTATTGTGACGGTGGGACGGTAACCTGGTGGTTACTTCATATCGTCCAACCCCTGTTAGGAATCACAAGTTAAAAGGTGACAACTCGTTATTTCTTAGCTCACACAAGTTTTGACTTTTGAGAGTTGTCGTTCGTAGGGGGGCGACAGCTGGTTAACGAAAAAACAGATTTTATTGTCTGTGTTGTCTATTCATAATGTAATATTAGCTTGGGATTTATATTAATTTTTTTTTAACTGACAAATTCTATACACTGCAATGAACATACATTTTCATCTTTCTATTTCTCGATGTTTAAACAAAAATTGTAGCAAACTTATGGATGATATATGTCCATGTAAGTGAAATTTTAAATCAAAGCTTTTTTATATATTACGTTGTAACAGCACAGGACCTAATATTGAGCCTTGTGGTACTCCAGATATGAGTGGAAGATAGTTAGACTCTATGTTATCAATAGAGACTCTCTGGAATCTATTTCTCAAATAATTTTCTAATAAGCGAATAGGTGTACCCGAAAGCCCTATATATCTCAGAATATCAAGTAAATAAAATGAGTATAGTATACTGTCGTTGATCGGTTGCTCTTATGATATCATTAACAACGTGCAGGAGAGTGGTTGTGCAACTGTATCCTTTTCTGAACCCCGATTGAACAGGTGGCAGTATACTGAATTCCGAAAAATGTTCTGTTAACTAGATCTTTATATTCAACAGGGTTTGATTTTTTTGGCAGTACTTTAACTAGCGCTCTACCCCAAGTTGTCGGAAACACACCCTCAAGGAGACGAGTGTTTATAATATGGGTGATATACTCAATTATATGTGGACAACCTCTCCATCGCGCGCTCTAATATTTTTGAGAAAGTAGGTAGGATACTGATAGCACGAAGATCTTTATATTCAACAGGGTTTGATTTTTTTGGCAGTACTCTAACTAGCGCTCTACCCCAAGTTACCGGAAAAACACCCTCAAGGAGACAAGTGTTTATAATATGGGTGATATACTCAATTGTATGTGGACAACAAAGTCTAATTAGCCTAATATTTAATTCACCACAACCAGCTGCATTCGTCTTCATATTTGAAATATTTGAAATTCCTGTATGTATAAAATTTTTGGGTCCGATTCCTACTAGGTAGTTTTAGTTTATAGGTAATCAGCGAATGATCTGATACTCCAGTGGAATCTTTGACCGCTTTCTCAAAAACAAGTTCTTCACGAGTTATTATAAGATCCAACAGAGTGGCACTAGTATCAGTAATTCTCGTAGGAAAGTCGATAATTTTATTCAGAGCAAATGAATCCAAAATTGAATTGAGTCTTTCCACTGCACTGTCTTCATAATCAAGCATATTGATGTTGAGATCGCCTATAAGTATGACTTCATCAACTGTGGGGTACATTAGAATAAGAACATTTTCGAAATCGTCCAGAAACGATGAGACATTTTGATTGGGAGCCTTACTCAATCCACCCAGTGCATACATTTTCCCTCAATTTTAATTTCTATTCAAAGTTGTTCAAATGATTCATCTGTAGACTGAAGTAACTCACTATAAAATTGACTTTGAATGTAGATTAATAAACCCCCTCCCCTAGATCGTCGATCAGCCCTATATATTCTGAAACCATCTATCATCAGGAGATCACAGCCAATATTATCATTCAACCACGATTCACAAACAATAAAGATATCAAAACTATTTTCTTCTATCAAATTCTTCACATCTTGTAAGGAAGGCATTAACTATCTGAAGTTCAAGCATCCGATAAGTAGGTTGTCCATTTCAGTATATTTATGTTAAAAACAATTCCAGCAAAAACTGCTAGCTCAAAGTTGAAGAAAAAAAATCTTATCCTAGTATAAATTCAAATAAAAAGAGAGTGGGCACGGCACAATTTTTTTTGTTCTTATAGACAATATTCCTGTAGTGGAGCAACTTAAACTTTACAATAATTGGTCTATTTTTATTACTAATGACCTTTCCAATTCTATAGCTCGCATCTATATTGGGCGCAGGAATCTCTAGGTCCATTTCTTTCTGAAATAGCTTCAACGTTGTTTGCAGGCAGTCCTCTTTTTCACTTTCCTCAATTCCATATATTAGAATATTCTTCATTTTAGAATACTGATCAAAGTTTTCCTGCTTATTTATTAGTGTCTCAATCAATTTTCCTTTCTCTTGGATTTTTTCACTCATTTTTTCATTTTCACTTTTTGAAAGATCAATTTCTTTGGCAAATTCAGCAGATATTATTTCAGTAATAGTGCTCGCCAATTAAGTGAGAAATTCTTCATATGTACACAACTTATTTACTGGAGTTTTGAAGGCTGCTTGCAGTTCGTCTTCTCCCTTACGGTTCCGGGACCCCATTTTGAGAAAAAAAATGAACTCACTGTGTTATCCAATATGTCCAAGTTTTCAAATGCGAAAAGGTATGATATTTCAACACCTTCACCACTAGTACACAAATCAACAGTTTTCCACACAAAATCCCCTAGTATTTTCAACAAATTCAGCAGCTCGGTGCAAACACGTTTACTGTTTCGATACAAAAATTGAACAGTAAACGCTTCATTACAACAAACTTGGAGCAACACAGTCCATAAAATCAATGAACACCATCATTTTTAAAAGGTGATGCCCCAATGATCCGAAGCTTGCACAAGTTTTGACTTCTAAGGGTTGTCGTTCGTGGGGTGGCAACAACTAGTTAACGAAAAAAACACATTTTGACAAATTTTCAACCTGTACAATATTCATATGAAAGTAGTATTCCCGAAAAGATTTTTTTTCGTGTAATTCAATGTTCGTGTGTAAGTAGTTGTGTAGAAAATGAATGAAAAACATACAGTATGAAAATTCTGTATAGCGAATCACGTTGTGTGATTTTGTAAATTGAAAACATAAAAATTAGTTCTTGAACACGCCACGCGGCACTGTATGTCATAATCAAAACTCAAACACAACTACTCACTCCTAACTGTTCGTAAAAATGCCTCGGAACGCTTTATGAAGTTTTAATTGGAATATTTCTCACATATTTGGTGCTCCGCCCTGAGGCTGTCAGATTCTGTTAATGAAAGAGATATTCCAAGCCTGAAATATCGAACGGACATTAGCGACTTTTTTCTATAGATACTTTTACGAAAAGTGTTTAGCCTAGTGATTTGACCCATTTGATTCCATCCAGAGTTATATAAGTCAGAAGTTTTCGGCAAAATACTGCTACCAATCTAATCTTGCTCATCCAAGACAAATAATGTTTCCAACGACAGTCTCAAGTTACCCAAGTGTTGGGACTATTGCGCTTTTGTCGTATTTCAGAATATCTTGTCGACCAGACAAAGTTGATGATAAATTGCTGGAAGATGGTACCAATAGTCAATTTTTATATGTTTCAGTTATCTATGACTTAGAATGTTGCCTATACTGATAGCTTTGACTGAATAATTATTTGGAAGTAAAATGCTGCCAAACTATTATTTTTCTTGATCTTCAGTGTTCAGAAACTCGTTTCAAGTTTCAAAAATTTATTTGTTAGTTTTTAAATTCTTGTTGAAATGAATTACAATTTACATCATCACGTAGAAAAAATCACAATAGTGTACACTAAAATAAATTGTGAACGTTAATTTGATAAAGCTTGAAGTCTACTCAAATAGGTAATGTAGGTCGTTTGATTTGCATGAAAATTCACCATATATATGACTCGCTACACCAATATATAGACGTTTCAGACAGTCTCTTCTCTCAACGGTTCCTAAAGAACAATCCTGAGTTTCAGTAAAGATGGACCGATCCCCTTACAAAGACAGCAGAGTATTGGTTCGACAGGAAACTAAAACTTTGCTTTTCGAATATGAAGACAGTTGTTGTTTAGCCTAACACCTCTGACGTGACAGCACTGCCACGCTTACTCGTTTCATCAAGTGTCTTTTCGTGAGAATTGCAGAGAAAAACAGAAAAAACTCCGCATTCGGTGGTTGATATCAAAGCTTCGTTTGGCA